CTTTTCTTTCCCCTTTCCCCCCCTTCTTCTTTTCTTTCCCCTTTCCCCCCCTTCTTCTTCTTTTCCCTTCTTCCCCTTCCCTCTCACCACACGCCCGTCCCATCCCCTCTGTTATTCCTGGCGACACATACAAAGCATCTAAAGACGGGGCTTAGGGCGAGCCGAGGAGGAATTAGCTCAACAGGATGGTTTGCTCAGAGGGGAGACGACCAACCGAGGAAGTTGGCTTTATCTTCTTTCCCCCCCCATCGGTCAAAGCCTTGTAATCTGGCGAAGGGAGCCCGGCGCTCCCCCCCGCAGCCGGGGCGCTGATAACCCGGGCTGGCCGTGCTCCGGCCCTTTGTTTGGGGAAGGGCTCCTTCCCCGGCCGCTCCTCGGGCGGCCCTGCGGGGAGGTCGGCGGGGGGCTGCGGGGTTGGCAGCGAGGAGGCCCTGGAAGGAAAGGGAGGCTCTGCGCCTGAAATCAGCTCCCTGCCTGCCCAAGCAAAATAAAGCAAAAAAAAAAAAAACCCCAAACCCCAAATACCTGTTTCTTAGGGTGCCGCCGGGCGGACACGCGTGGGTTCCCACTGCCGTCGCCCTCCGCCTGCCCACCCAGGGGGACCCCGCCACGGGGCTGCTGCCCCCTCTCCTTCCCTTGCTCGGCTTTTGGGCTTCCCCACTCAGCGAGGAAGGAGGCGGAGGAAGGCTCATCAGGGCTGGGGTAGTTCTCAGCAGATGCATTTAGCGATGCCTTTCACTGACTGCCCCTCACCGCTGCCCGCAGACCCCGATAGCCCCTCTCTAGGGCAGAGCCCCATGAAAAGCCAATTTTCCTTCCGCAAAAAAGCAAATTCCTTCCCAAATCGCATAGAAAGTGATTACTACAAGCTTTTAACTGGTACTTACGGGCAGGTAGGATGGCTCCTTTGTGCTTGACGGAGTGAAATCATGCGCTTGTTTTTTCAAACGGAGAGAGGTCATTTAACACCCCGGATAAATCCTGGGTGCTTTCCTGCAGATGTAAGTAGGAAGCTCCTAAACCTGCGCGAAACGGTTGCGTTTCCTCCATTGATCAGTTGGCAAGGGAGACGGAGAGAGCAGAGGTAGGCTGGAGAAGAAAGAGTGTTTCACCGTAACTAGGGAGAAAAGAAAATACTTCCCTGCCCTTTAAAGTAGGAGCTGTTGGCACAACCAGGACAAGCAAACTGAATCCAAATTGAGTCCTCGCCAAATTACGCCTTAAATTATAACTCCGCTGTGGATGCTATA